TAGGATGTGATTTTCTGTGTGTCTTTTGTGTCAAATTAACTCCCACTTTTTCTGTCTTTGTGTCCAAAGCGGTAGAGAAAGGGTCATCTTCACCCTCAGCTTCTGAGAACACCAAAACGTGGATTGCTCTTGGCGTGGTTTGTCCCCTCCTTGCCGTAGTCGTCATCATTTTAATTGTGTACTGGAAAATGTGCCGGACAGACAAACTGGAATTCCAGCCAGATGCCATGACCTCCATGCAACAGAGACAGAAGGTAGAAATATTATCTGGCATTATAGGAAAAAAAATTATCTTTGTAATGTTTTGGGGTTTTTTTTGTTTACCAACACAATGTTGCTGAGAAAATGAAGACCATTTTAAAAATGAAATATCTATTAATTACCATATAAATTAGGCTATATTGCATGCAATAATGGCTTAAAATTAGTCAAATATATGGTGTTAAACGCCACATAAAAATACAAGCCTTAGATCAGGGTTCCCTGCCCTAGGTATGACCTCTGCCAGGTACTTTTCCCCTATGTCAGTGCTCCATGACTGGCATCACTTTAGACTGATAAGACTGGGGATGAAAGGCCATGTGCTTTGCAGCGCTCTCTGCCCAGACTTAGCATTTCCTGAAGGCTGCAGGGACCCAGAAAAAACAGGTTTTCAGGACTACGGAAATCTTTCTGTATAAGTTCACAGAATATACATTTTTCAGGGAGCTTCCAATTTTGCTCTATTTAGATTTTTCTAACAGTATACATGAATGTGTACCATTCACATCGGTGGTGTAAATGTACAAGCCTCTGGTAAACATGAAAACATGATGATCTTTCTGGTCAGGTTAGGTTTACTTCTCTCTCCATGTCGGTCGTTCCTCTCCTCTCTCTAAACATGCCATTTTTTCTATGATGACGTTGAGCCGAACACTAAAGCCTGTGCTTTGGGTTAATGCAATGAATTGAATTTGTAAAAACCATTTAGCTTGCTCTCTGGTCAGCTACTATCATCTAATACTTAACGCTACTTAACAATATTCCTATTAGTCCATAATGTCATTGGGACAATCAAGGACCCCTCGGAAGACATTACTATCAGCTAAGAGGGAGATGGGCTATAAGGAGGAAGAATACGAGTGTTACGAGGTTGATGAAGAAGAAGAGGAAGATCAAGAAGATGATGATGATGAAATAGAAGAAGAGGAAGATGATGATGAAGAAGAGGAACATGAGTTAGAAGAGGAAGAGGAGTTACAGAGGGAGAAGGTATCGATCTGTGTTCGGTGGAGATGTATGTGTTCGTGCGTGTGTTTGCTGTAAACAGTTCGTCATTTTCTAGCTAGTCTGTAAAGAAAGTGGTCATGACATCACAGTTTATATTCTTACAAACAACCAATCAGCATGTTCCTGTGACCATTTACAAACTCACTTCACTTTTGTTAAGAAGCCGTCCGCTGCATCAGGCAGAAAACAGAGTCCAAGCAGTACGGAGGCAGAGGATGACGAAGATAAGGACCGGGCTGGGGAAAAAGACAAATTCATGAGTGAAGGAATAAAAAGAGATGACACACAGAGTAAAGGGAAGGCAGCAGTACTGCAGAGACTTGATTTGGTGAAGAAAGAAGATATAAGCAAAGTGATCTCTCAGGGGAGGAGAGGCGAAGAGGAGGTACTGCATGTAGTTGAAACAGAGGCGCTAGTCTGCAAATGTACTGAGAACCCCACTAGACCCTGTGTTAGTTACTAGAAGAAAATATGTAGTAGTGTATTACATTGTGTACGATGGTGGGTTTTCTATAGACTCAGTGTTGTTGTGTTTGATTCTCTACTTTGTCCTGTAGATTTATAGATGTATTGTCATTTTAGCTGTTTGCAATTATAACTTGCATATAACTCACTACTGCTATATAAGTTACCATATATGGTCATCCAAATTTAGTCATTCCTATTGATTAAAAGAGTTTTTAATATTGTTGCAGTAATCACTAGCAGCCATAGTATTTATGGGGGGGAGGTGGATATTTATGCAATATCCAATGCACCTTTGGGACCAATAAACCCTGAAGAAGGTTTATTGGTCCCAAAATAATCTCCTTAAACCAGTCTCTGGGAATGACCAGTGTGATGTGACTGTCCTCCGTTATTCAATTTACATATTCAAGTCAAGTGTTTTTCAATCTTGGGGTTCCAAACCCAACTTGGATCACCTGAAATTAAATGTGGTCACCTGAAATGTGTAGTAAATATTTTTTAAAAAAAACACATTTTTTTAAATTCTGATTTAAATACACCTGCAACAACAGCATTCTTTCACTTTTCACAAATATAAATCAAGTTCAAATAAAATGGAGCATATAAAAATATCTGCACTGGCGCATCTTGATTGATGGCTGCCATCATATCACTGCACAAATGACAGCTACTTAAATGTTCTCTGGACTCACCAGAAATTTGTGATGTCAAAATGGGGTCACAAGCCAAAAAAGGGTGTGGTCAAGTGTTGTGGTCTGTAGCACTTTGACACTGACAAATGTGTCACTGTATTAGTGTTGTATACTATCAAACCTCCTCTTAGCCACTGTGCTGCTTCAGTAAACCCACTGAGCCTGTTTAAACAGACCCGTGCCTCTTCTCTTGTAGCTACATTTCTGTGTCACAGAAGCAGTTTCACGAGCTGCAAATGCAAACTGAAAGTCCCCAGAGTTTACCATCAAATACTCTTTCCGCTCTTGTTGCCAGTCTCCATCCCCCACTGCCTCAAAGTAGAGCAAGCAGCTGAATGTTGCACTGTTCCCCTTCCTCAAAGCCTCTTCTTTATTGATATGGCAATGTTTAGGCTTTGGAAACTTTCAAAGCACCTGTAATGTTCTCTCTCTCTCTCTCTCTCTCTCTCTTTTTCTTTACCCTCGCCCTTTTCCTCAGTTGCAGGCTCCCAGTGTGAAAGGCTTCGACTTTGCCAAGCTGCACCTTGGCCAGCAGAGTAAAGATGATATCATGGTGATTCAGGAGAATGTCCCGTCAGGACCCGGCCCTGGGTCTTTACCCATGTCCAGTAAAGAAGGCCTGAGTCCCTCTGAAAATGGGGAGCTCCACACACCTATATCTAAGAACTCCTCTGCCAAGAAGGGCCGTGGTGAACGCAGGCGAGAAAGGTCAGTGAGTGCAAATAATGTTTAGAAATGGAAACAAGCTGTCATAGGTTACACAACAAAACCAAAAAAGGCCCTGGAGTAGCACCACCCATCTGTTTCTATTTAGTCCTCTACTCAGTTATGTTATGGTCCCCAGATTACAAATAATTGTTCTGTTTTTGATCCCCCCAGATGTTCCATAATGTTTTAATGGAACACAGGAGTTTATTTCAACTGCCTTTCCAAACCTACGATGAAATTTCACTGGATAATAAGTGCAGCGTTTTCCCTTCCACCTAAGACAACTAGTCTAAAAGCTTTTCAAAGATTATTAGATGAATTATTGATACATCAGAGCAGACATGAAAGGATCTGGTAGACTTATGTTATAGTCATTATGTCAATGTTCAGATTTTTATTTTATTTTAGTAAGTCTTTAGCATGATTTTAGTCTCTAGCATTGTTCGATTCATACAGTCAGTGGTAACTGTGGTAAAATACATTTAACTATATATTCTTTTCCTTTTCTTACCATTGCAGTCACTGCCATTAATAACTGGTTTACAGTAAAGCATACATTATGTGAACCTTTTTACATTTTGTGTTAACTATTTGATTATAGACTTCAGGTCAAGTCATTTTTACAGATGACCTCACAGCTCTCTCTTTCTTTCCTGGAAAAGCCCAGGTTCCGAATATGTGGGGCTTTTCAATGTGTTAGCACATTCCTTGACTTCTATTATTCATGCAAGTGCATATGTGTGCGTGTGTGTGTGTGTGTGTGTGTGTGCGCGGTGTTTCACCCCTAGGATCTCACCATCAGACGTAGACTCAGTGGTAAGTGACCGTTCGAGTGAGCAGGAAACGACTGAGGAGAACCTGAGAGCCCACACCACTCCCAGCGACAGCAAGCAGACCCATAAGGTTCCCTTCAATGTTTTAAACGGTAAGTACCCATGGTTACACTCACATCACTCCTCCAAACACAGACACTGCTTGCCAAAGGAGAGGGGGAGGGAAGGAAGGGCAGCAGGCGATTTAAGAGATGTGGCTGTTACCAAGGAATAAAGAGAATTTTAACTCTAGCATTGGCATTATTAAAAAAAGGAAAATAAAATGATCAAAGTTGTTTTACAGTAAGGGAAACAAAGCTGGGAAAGAGGGAGGGAAAGAAAGAAGGAAAGAAAGAAAAAAGATGAAACAATAAAGAAATAATGAATGGATAAGATGAAGGAAAAGAGAGAAAGAAAGCCTAAGGAAGAATAAAAGAAAGAAAAAAATGGAAATGGAAGAGAAAGATGTAAAGAATGAAAGGGAGTGGAAACCAAGGTAAGAGAGAGGGAATAAAAGAAAGAAAAAAGATGATAAAAATGAAGGGAAGAATAAAAGAAACAAAAAGAAAAGAAAAATAGAAAGAATAAAATAAGGAAAAAAGAGAGAGAGAAGAAAGAAGTAAAAAATGGAAGAAAAAGGTAAGAGATAAAGCACTGACTCCAGCAGTGAAATTAAAAAGTAAGTGTGTGTGAGGAAACACTTGGAAGGAACTCAATTTAATGGCAAAGAGAGATCCATTGGGGAGTGAGCAGGAACGAGGAGAGTGAAAAGGCTGAAGGTTCTGCTGACACTTTGTCAACAGTCAGTACTGAGTCCTGACACCAGAGCCAGACAGGGTCAGGAAAATAGACTTGAGCCTGACTCAGCCACAGAGGAATGATCTGTGTTTGGTTAGTGATAAATCTCAGCCTGAGCCTGTTTATACTCCACCGTCATGTTTATCAGTGCGTGGTGTGTCAGGCTTTCTCTTTCTCTCTCTCTCTCTCTCTCTCTCTCTCTGTCTCGTCTAAAGCCTGCATTCTGATGTTTTCTCTTTTCGTTCATTTTACACCAAACATGACCCTTTTATCAGGTGCAGAAAATGATCTTTCCCATGACTCACCCGCATTTCTTTCTCTTCTTTTTGCTTCTCTCCCACATTTGTATTCTCATTTCCAAAGAATATGCTTTCTATTTTAGTACTTGATCCCTTCTCTTTAATAAAACTCTCTCTATCTCTCTCTATCTCTCTCTTTCTCTCTTTGCTGTGGTCTGCAGGCAGAAATAGAATTGGTAAGAGTTGGCCTTTTTTTTCATCTGTCTTTCCTTAGACTCAAGCTTTGACCTCAGGCAGCTGTGTCTGTTTGTCGTCTGTCCCTTCCTGTGGTAGCTTTGTGTATTATCGTATTCTAGTAGTATTCTCACCATCCATCACTGTCTTCTGAGTTGTCACTCAACTCGAAACAATTCATTTAACAAACAGAGACCCTCTTTGAAATGCTGCCTGGCTTAGAAGTCAGTCTCCATTTTATTTAACCACAAGGAATATATACATCTGTAGTCTGTTAGCGTGTTTAACGTAGCATTAGCGCTTCAGTAAAAAAATGTTTGTGCCATCTATGATGTCAATGATGTGACCTCTGTTTTTCGTCGTTCCCTCACTTCCTCAGGTCCTCCACCTGCAAACAGTACCAACGAACAGCTGACGTCAGCTTCTATCTTCGAACATGTGGATCGCATGTCTCGAGCCACAGATGCAAACCGGAAGCTTCCAAACAAAGTCCAGCTTATTGCCATGCAGCCCATACCAGTGCCACCCCTGCACAGCCCACCTGTAAACGGCAAACTGTCAGACACCAATCAAATCAACAAAGAGGTTTGACGTTTTGACTGTTTCATGATTAATCCAGATGCATTTCTTTCTTTTTTCTGTATATTCCTGATATTTTAAGCTCAAGATGCTTGACTGAAACAAAACCCCTTTTCCAAAGTGTGTGTAAATGTCAACTGTTTATTAGAGCATGAAAATATAGAGGTGATTTGAAATGCTTTTTATTGAGTAGCATAGCACCATATTGACATTACACATACAGCTTTTCTCTCATTGTTTTTAGTATATTTTTCTCATATATTTACTATATCGCTTGCCAGGCAAGAGAAATGTGTTTGGCAAAAGGTTTTTTTTTTGTCGATTCTCTTTCATCTTATCTGCATTTTTTAATAGAGGAATTTTTTTTCTTCAGATTCAGGTGGCCTTGAGGCACAAGTCAGAAATTGAGCACCATCGTAACAAAATACGCCTGCGTGCAAAGAGAAAGGGCCACTACGACTTCCCTACCATGGATGAACAGACCGGTGGAATTGGAGACATGAAGGATCAAGATCGTATCTATCAGAAGGCACAGATGCAGATCGATAAAATCCTGGACCCAGATGGACAAATGCCCTCCATGTTCATGGAATCAAAAAAAAGGTATGTGTGTCAGATTGTTGGGCCAGTTTTACATTGTTAGATGAAACACTTAAGTAAATATTTGTCTCTCAGCGGTCGAGGGAGGCGTTCTCCCAAACAGAGGATGAAGGAGCAGCTGAATGGAGGTGCCATGGATGCCGACAAAGACCACCTCATCACAGAGGACACTGATGCTGCGTACAGGAAGTGCCCTGGTGTCAACAACGTGGCTTACGTAGTGAGTACTCCAGAAGCACCACCACCTACAGTACGCGCCTGACACAGTAAATGAACTCTGTGACCTCTCTCACTGCCAATGTGTTTGTGTTTCTCTAGTCGGACCCTGACCAAGGTCCCGGCTCCCCTCACAGGAGCCCTTCCCCCACTGACGACGTTTTCCTTGGTCCAACTTCCTCTCCTCCAAGTCACGCCCCTCCCCCGCCTCCCTACATGCCTCCACAGCCCTCCATCGAGGAGGCTCGGCAGCAGATGCACTCCCTGCTGGATGATGCCTTTGCCTTAGTGTCGCCCACCTCTCAAGGCAGCACAGCGGGGATCACACTTCCAGGGGTCAACAGCAACCTGCCGAGTTCAAGCCCTCCAGGCCGAATGCCCAGACCGTGGGGCACCTCCTACCAAACTGTTGGTCCGTTCCCTAGTGTAAGGATTCATCCCACACTCTTTAATATCCTGGATACATCCAGTAAACATAAATAAACCTGAGTCAGTTTTCTGTAGGCTTTAATCTAGTCATTCTCTTCACTGATCCAGGGACAGAGACAGAAGAAATAGAATTCAGTTGCAAATTTGTAAACAGACACATTGAGTCCCTTGAATTTACCATCTCTTTTCCTTTACACAACAACATTTTCTCCTGTTCATTCTCAGTACAAAGATTATACCTTTTAATCATCTTCTTAGTGAACTAATCAGCTAAGCATTCTTCCATCTGTCGCCCCCTGGAGCTCCAACCTTATAACCCCAGCCAGTGATCCAACGCTGCTGAAACTCTGCATGTGTTTGATTTACTCAGCAGATTTACTGAATGCAGGTTTCACACAAAAACACTGAAAATAACCAATATCCAAATTTTGAGGGTTTTTAAATAACTCACTGTGTTCAAACAGACTGCGTCAGGAAACTACATCCATGTCATATGCATCACATCCGTCACTTTGAAATTCATATTGAGGAAGAAGAAGATTTGAGCTGAAGATAGAGGTTTTCTGTGCTGCCCAGTGGCAGTCATGGAGGGTTTGAAGATAAAAGTGACATTATGTGGGAGCTGTAGGGGGTGGGGGCATGGGGGAGATAATAGGGTGAGGAGAGGGGCTTCAGGACACAGCACAGACCATGGATTATTGAAGATGATGATTACCTCTGACTTTTATGTGTGCTGTCTGCAATGTGGCTGATGAAATCAAACATTCATTTCACGTTCACACTATTATAAAAGAAGTATTAGTGTGAGTTCTTATCTACAACAGATGTGTGGAAACATTGTGTACCAGTGATTTTAGCCCCACATCAAAACCATATGTTGCACTGAGGCAGACGCAGTTTTTTCTGGTATTATGATCCTTTATCATCCTTCGTGTCAGCCTGCTCCTCACTGTCTCCTTCTCTTCCTCAGAGGTTCACTGAACTGGCTCTGTCTCCACCTTCAGTCCAAGGCCTGACACCAAGGTTAGTGGAGACAAATGACTATTCTAAAAATGTATATTCCCCCCCCCAAAAAAAAGAAATTTCAATTCAGTAAATATTTTCTCTACTTTGGCACAATTAATAAAAATGCAATAACTCCACACCCCCAAAATGGGGCCTGCCTGTCCCATAATCATAAAGATTCCAACAGATTTGTGCAATTTCCCATGAAGGATTATTTTCCTTTTCGCTGCATCAACTTCACTTTACCTGTTTGGGAAACAGTGTTCTTATTGCCACAATCTCTGTTGCGTTGTTTTGACAACTTTTTTACACTGTCAACCTTTTCATGGCTCCCGTTTGCTCTTTAAGTTCACTGCTGTCTAGATCTGCTGCTATACTGCTGCACTTTAATTACATCTTTCTGGTCATTTTTATTATATTTAAAATGTTCAATTCAACCCTTTACCTATTTGTTTAAGGCTTATTAAGAGGTTTGTTTGATTGAAATCTTTAATGTAACATATGTATTCATACCTAAAAAAAAATGACTGAGAAAGATGAGATCAGATTTACTGACAGAAAGCAGGTTGACGAATGTTGCGTTAACACAGGACAGGACCTGAATGATTTTAATGTTACTCAGAATTTAATAAAGACTGAGATCGCCTTGATTGATACGTGGCATATGGAAGGCGGCACACGGATCGTGAATTAATTGCATAGTGAAACCAAAGGTTTATTTAAGTCTTCAGAGCCTCCTGTTATGTTTTACCCTTTTCTCACTGTACTCCTGAATAGGCGTGTGTTTACAGAAGAGACACAAGTCAATTTTGTTCTACTATATTTGACATTGCTGTTAATGCATCAATAACTAATGTTAACCCAAATATTTAAAAAAAAAAAAGTTTTTCTATTTTTCTATATAAAGTAAAGGTATTTTTGTGTGTGTAAGTACAATAAGTAAATTAAGGTGGCAGAACAAAAATGCTTAAATGAGCTAAAAAATCTTGATTTTTTTTGTGTAGTTGATGTTTATGTTAAATGCACACGAGTTTTATTAGAACATCTCACAATCGCACCGTACAACATGAGACCCCCGGGGTGTTGACTTGACATTAAATGATATCTGGTTGACATTTGATATTCCATCACACACATTTAAATACATTTGATTTCCTGTGTTTCAGGCATGGCCTTGGCTCCAGCTACCTTCCACCAGGTGATGCAGCCGGCCTAGAGGAGCACTTCCAGCCAGACAGCCTGTTCTCCAGCAGGGGGCTTTACACGGACGAGCTCCCATCATCTGCAAGACCCAGACCAGTTGGAGGAACGACAGGTACATGTGGAACCGGAGTCCATGTCTAAAAAGGCTGTTAAGCTGCCACCACAGGCTGTTTACACATTTTATAGTTTATATTTATTTATTTATACAGTTTATACTTACTTTTACACAGCTTTATGAGACCAGAGCCACAGAGTGCTCCCTCTGCACACTGATGTCATTTACATCTCTCCTGAATGTAGGTCACAGCAATTATCTTTAATACAGTTACGCTTACCATAGGTCCATTAAACTGACAGAGACATGTCTTCAATTATTCAAGCAGCTGTAATGTAGCTGCCGCTACACAGTTATGACAAGACTAACAGAAAATGGATTCTTACATCCAGTGCTGCACAGACAAAAAGCCTCTCTACACTACAGTGATTACGTCTGATTATATTAGAGGAGCTGCTGAGGATCAAGTGTCAGTACTCTAGTCCTCATATGATGGGTGTGTATTATGTACTGTGTGTGTGTAGGAGCCCAGCTCCATCATCTAACACAGGTGGGATTGTCCAGCCGGATGAATGGTTACCCAGCAGGGGCCAGGGTGGCTCCAGGGCAGAATGGAGGTGTGGGCTGGAACCACTACCACGAGGACAACTTCTCCAGAGCTGAGCCAGAAAAAGACGCAGTATGAGAAGAAAAAAAATAATTAATTTTGTTTCTTTAACTGCTTTTCAAATTTTTATTGTCCGAATGCCAAAAAAAAAAAAAAACTAAAACTACCTGATGACAACACAAACCAACAATAATGAATGTCAAAAATCCAGGTTTTGATTCTCACAGGTATGGAAACATGCAATTAACATTCAGTCTAAAATACAGCAAAGAAAAATAATTTGTTACAGGTGCATTTAATGTAGTAAACATAAGAAGCCAGAAATGTGTAGAAAGTGTACCAGAGTCATGTCACACAATCTTTATTGGATTTTTTCAGTTCAGTTTAAATTTTTTGAAGTGTCTGTAGTATGGTGCCAGGGTCTTTTGTAGTTTCTCCTGTGTTAATCAGTAGACCAGTGGTCTTCTGTGGCTCTTTAGCCACTTAGCATGAACTGCCTGTTAGGTCATTTGGTGACTGAACATTAAGAGACAATTACACATAGAACTCAGCTGCAATGTTTTATAAAATTCAAGGTTAAACCAGTTTTACATCTCACTCTAGATGTTGCTGTCGTTATCCGCTTGTTTGCTGACAGTAAAACAACACCACGACACTGTTCTGTTGAACTAAAGACTAGATGTGAAGCTTTTACCTCAGGTAACTGTAAGTGATCGAGTCTGTCTGTGATTTGTGTGGTACAACAGGATAAACAACAGCACATTGTCTACACTGCTGGTGCAGTATGACACACACTGCTACAGGGCCACCTAGTGGTCAAAGTAGGTGTAACAAAAATGCAGTCCTTGGTTAGTCATTCTTATTTGGGGTCGTGTTTTCATCAAGTCATGTTGCACATTAGTATATGAATTCTATAAAGTCTTACAACTTTTCCTTCTCATTTTTAAGCTTCACATCTTCTACTAAACTTCTACTATTTACTATTTACTCTTCCTTTTTCCTTCTCTTTTCCCTTCTGTCTTGCCATTAGTACCTGGACTGTCCTGACTACGAATCCTTCCATATGTTCCAGATGCCCAGGAGTGGTAACAGGGAGCCCATGGCACCCTCTGCCCACTTAGATCCCCCCGTGGTGGGGTACATGTCGCCATGTCCGCCGCCTCTGGATACATCTCCTCCGACTCATTCCTCGGCCTCCCTGATCAAAGCCATCAGGGAGGAGCTGCTGCGTCTCTCTCAGAAACAGGCAGCTGTGCCCAGCTACCACAGCTGAAGTCTGTCAGTCTGTCTCCACAGTCGCGTCACTGACCCTGCCTGTCCGCCTGCTTCTCCTAATCTGACAATGCTTCCCATGGAAGCCCTTTGAGGTGTACAGCAGCGAGACAGTACTGATAAGCTCAAACTCCAGTAGAGATGTGGCTGAGTGACATCAGAATCACAGACAACAGCATCTCAGATGCAGGTGGATGGACAGGTGCTGGACAATAAGGACCTGTGATGTGATTGGAGGACCTGTCCTGTTTCTGTGGATCAGGAAGTGGTCTTGTAAATCCTGGGCTTCTGTTGATGCACGTTGTGAAGTTTTTGGTTTTTCTTTTTCTTATATTTTGATGCGTTTCCATCGACTCGTTCGATGTCTGCGTTTACTTTTTCTACATAAAAACACACAGTCACTCTGATCCACGCTGCCCGTCACCTGTCGTCAAGCGGAACTTCATGTTTCCTGCCATTAAGAGGCGCGTCATATGCCTTATATTGTAATAAACAGTTTAGCAGGCCCAGTGTTCTATGCAGGTCTACAGTCCAGTTCAAATGCAGTCGCTCCTCGATGGTCGACATGAGGGATGTGTTCAAAAAAAAAACTCCCTGTTCTTTCCTTACTTGTTAATGTAGCAGCAACAGTTTGTGTTTTTAAGGACCTTGTGTCTTGTACTATATGTATAAGGGTTTATTTGTGTTCATCTCCGAGCTGATTTCTGTTGTTTTTACATACGTTAGGCAGCTTCAGGGCAGCAAGGCATGGGAACAGAACAAAAAAATATGCAGACAAGGTATTTTTAAGTTTTAAATAAATAATGACAGTATGTATGTACTTGACATTAATGTACAGTTAGCACTGTATCTACTGGTATTTGTTGTATGTAATGCACTGTATGCAGACTACTTGGTATAGCTCAGGTCTTTCAGAAAAGCTAGTGGACAAATCAGTAAAAAGACATTCAGTTTGAACTTGTTAATAATGGACTCACACCAGTGTCGCTCTATCTTGCAGTATTTAGAGTTTGCTTTGCCTCTTTAATCATAACAACAAACAAACAAACAGATGAGAAAAACACAATGTGTTGTTTTTGTTTTAAATTATGTCAACTTTTGTATTTTTGTGCTTACTAGTTTTTTGGGTTTTTTTGAATGCCTCATCTGGTCATTACCTTAAGTGTTCCTGAGTATTATGTTCTTACAGTCTTATATTTTGGGGCCTGAATTTTTTTTGAAACTTTATTTAAGTGAAATAAAAGAGGGACGAGTGATTTTGAAGGCAGGACCTGGAAATATGTTTTGGGCTTGTTTATCCGTAACAGTGGGATGGATCAGAAAAGCCGCTGTAGCACAAAGGAAGTGTGTGATTTAAACAATGTTGTGCCTTTCTGAGCTAATTGAACAGATTTAGCAGATCTGTCTGTTTACTTGTGGTACTTCTAGGACATCGAAGAAGAAGTAGCAGATAACTGTGACGTCCCATTGTAAATGCAATACTTTTTTTTAACTCAGTAAACTCCGGTAGTCCTCCTCTCTTTATTTTTATTAATTAATTAACAAGGACTGCCTCCACTTCTGGTTCCACACTGTAAAAACAGCCCATTTGCAGTTTATTTTAAACTGACTTTATTTGTGTAGTTTTTTTGTTGTTCTGTTTTTGTCTTTTCTCATGTTCCACTGTTGTTTCGCATTTCTGTTGGCTGGTTCAACTTGACCTTTGATCAATGCTGCATTTTTGAAGTTTCATATTCTTTTTTATTATTATTTGTGCATTGTTGAAACAAATTTTGTTTAATACAAACGAGTTATCACTCGATATGTCTTTTTTTTCTTTATGATTTCTAAAACTAAAACATATACATAATCAGATAGTTGATAATTATTTGAGCTGTGTTTACATATATTCACCACAAGGTGGCAGCATATTTCAAGAATCACCTCTGCTCACAGCATTGAGAAGTTTGTCCTTGATAACGTAATGTTTACAGTCACAGGGAGGGATCGTTTTGATTTTTTTAGTAAGAAAAAATTGAGGTTGTAATGACGTAATGTATTTTATACCATTAAACCTAGTGTTTGAGAAGTACCTCAACACTTGAATAACACTAGAACAACATACATCAATAGTCACATTGGTAGCCTTCCTTCTCTTTTATAGAGGTAAAAATCTTAAAAACTATAATTAGCTTTTGGATTTACTCTTCTTCTTGTGCCAAATGTCATCTTTCTTTAATCCCATCACAATGTGTAAAGCCACAGGATGGTGCTTTAGACAAGGCTGTGCTGTACTACCATGCAAGACAGCACTGTCTTTATCCTCAGAGGCCTGACTGGACAAATCATGCTTTCAGTGGTTTGATCTGATATTTGATATTTTAAAACTACATGTTTTTTTTCTATTTCAGACTGTACTTTTCAGGTCAGGTCCTTGAGCCTGAGTGTCCTGTCCTGTCTGACTGTCCCCGACCCTCCCTGTGGGGTATACACCTATCCCCTCCTGATTGTAATCCCGTCTGTGTCGTCCCAGCTCGGCTCAGATCACTGAGAGCACACCCAGGAGTTAATCTGGATCATGGTGGTAATTACTGCCTGGGTGTCCACTGTGCAGGAGCGTACGAGCAGGAGAACCCTGGGCTCACCCAGGGCGGAGTCAGAGAGGCAGTTTCAGCCAGTGACCTTGAAGAACACAGGAGGGGGAGGAGAGAGGAAATCAAACCAGGAGCAAGAGCAGATGTAGGCATGGTCTCACTGACAGAGTTCCAACACTGTGGCTCTCTTTCTTCAGGCACTTCGTCACTTTTTACTCAGCTGGTGAGGACAGAAACACAGGAGGAGCAGGGAGAAGAGGGAGGAGGAGAAGGAGGAAAACACGGGGGAAGCAAAGCTTATCCTAAACAACAAACAAAAGGCTTTTCTTTCACCGTTTTACCAGCACAGATCTCAGCACTGTGAGTGAGTAATAAGATTTACTTTGGTCAAACTCTCAAGGTCAGCTTCAAGTTACATGTGTGTGGGAGTGTGTGGGGTTGGCATGACCATCTGTGTTTGATACTCGGACATTGTCATGATGTGAAGATGATGATTCAGCAGGTATCGTGTTGTTGTGTTACATCTGACAACATGACCACAGCGTTAATTCAGTGGTGCTCTGTGGTCCTCAGTCTTCCTGTTTACCTTATTATTATTATTATTGTTGTTGTTGTTGTTGTTGTTGTTGTTGTTGTTGTTGTCGTCGTCGTCATCTTCATCTGCATGCTGCTGCTGCTGTAACAGTGTCTGTCTGTGGATCAATGGCTGCAGGACTGGCACTGAGACACTGCAGCAGCCAAGTGTCTTCCGCAGTACTGAGTCTGAAGCCAAGCAGCAGAGACGTCACTTAGTGATGTCACAGTTTTCACTTGGAGCTTCACATGTGTGAGGCATTTGGACAGAGTGACAGTTACATCAAAGTTTCATACACTCAATGATCCCTTAATTAGATACACTTGTGTAACTGGTCGTTGGTGCTGGAATGTAATCCACCAATCACATCACAGCAACTCATTCCAGGAAAATGCATGGACCTGATTTAGAGTCATCAGGAAAAGGTAATCCTTCGAAATATAATTATGTATTTGTTGTTGGTGTGATCGTTAGCATTACAAACAGTAAGGCAGAAGAGCGCTTTAACAGTAACTCAAAGCCAACTCCTCTTTACAGACAAACAAGTTACTTAATGTAGAAATTGCGTTATCATATGAGAAACCCATAATACTAAAGACCACAGCAGGTGTCAGGTTAGTGGGCGAGGAAGGAACTGAGGCGACTTCATACAGGCTAACAGAATTTGGACAATAGAACTATTTGTCTCATTGTCTTTTGCATATTGTAAAGAGTTGTACATTTAATTCTTACATTTTTTGTTTAAATTACACACCGCTCCAAACCGTTCTGTATGGTTATGTCTTTTTCTGCTCTAGCTGATGCTAAAATCTGCATGCACATCAACTGCATGATACAAATTCAGAAGTATCTATTATGTTACAAAGCTCAGCTATTTAAATAATAGACAGGTTATGTTGCATTGTGTCTGTTAATGTGATTTTAAAGAAGCGTAGATTTTTACTTAAAGAAATGCTGGGTGAAAAAATACTATCAACCCAGATTTCACAGTCCTGTTGCAGTACCTTTACTTGTCCTCTAGGGCTCACGGATCGCTCTTGAAGACTTCTGGTGTACAGAATATTTTCTTTGCACCTTTGTGTGTGTCAAAGTGTGGGACGGGCCCCACTGGTGAAGAACGGCGACAAGACAGGTGGGCTGTGACAAATGGGAGGAAAGTGTTGATGGCACAGCTGCGCTTTTATTTTCTTTATTTGAACTTAATGTTATTCAGTGTTATTGATTTTGATTCATTATAAAAAAATGACCAAGATTTGTGTTGGGCTGACAGGGGCAGGTGGAGCTTAAAAATCCCTACGTGTTTGAAGTGTTGAATGACTAAGAAAATTTGAGAACCACTGCATTAATGTGAGAGTTGGTGTTGGTGTTGACAGCAGTAAAGCCTTTCGTGGTGTCTGTCTCCAGCAGGACGACACACATCACAAGGCCTCAGCATCAACGGGTTTCTTAGACAATTGCGAAGACATTATGGAACATTAATGGTCTCCAACTCTTTTTCTAAAAGATCCTGTTGCAACTGTGTGAAGCCATTATGCCAATATAAACTGAAATAATTTTTAAATAATTGCAGTATCTTGAAAACTTTATCCACAGTATGACCAACCGGACATGAGAAGTGGGCAGTAAACATAGACATCACTGCTGCCTTTCGTGTTGACTAAACAGCTCTGAGACGTGTGTTCAGCCAGCTTTGATGTTGTAGTCGGGTCAGTTTCTTTTTTCTCGCTCTGTTTCCTGAAGAAAAAAAAACATAGTGGCGGCTTTTTTTGTGGCGTTTGTTTCTTAGCTTGAGGTGAAGAAACTGAGGTTGGTGTTGTTGAATGCCAAGAGCAGCGGTGTCTGTCTCTGTAAAGGCTGAGTCTGTTTACATAACAGATGAAGGAGCAGCCTTGGGAAACAGAGTTGAAGGGGAGAGAAGGTAAAGACTAAATTTCTCCCTTTTGGCACCAGCTTGTTCTGTCCTACTTACAGCATGGTGACACAGAAGTATAGTTTCTCTGAGGTGAGAACCAAAAGTGCTGCTCTCATTTCTCCATCTCCGCTCGTACCCTGTTGTTTCTGTTGGCTGTAATAAAAGGCTGTTTCTCCTCTGGTCGTGAGCGAACATTCACCATGTCAAGGTCAAAGTGCAGGTTATCTGTGTGTGTGTGTGTGTTTGTGTGTTTGTGAATCGCTCTCCCCCACCAGGCCGTACTGTATCCGAGGACACAGCGTGATATTGTGTCTGATGCTGAGCTGAGTAGGAGGCGACGTCCATGTGATGTTGAAGAGGGAGGTGAATGGCTGTCATTCTTCAGTGGCTGCCTGTCAGCTGGGCAGCTGCCCTCTGCTCTGACTCACTACAGCCACCCTGACTGTCAGCTGCTGTCAGGCCCCGTCCACAGCCGCGCTGTTGTCCTCCTGGACAGAGGTTACACACATTCAGCACCTCTCTTAGAGGAGGCGTCAAAAAAGTGGAACTGTCTCCACTTCAAGGTGCAGGACGAAAGAGATTTCTGAATGTCTGCATTTATAAAAACTGACACACAGCAGAGACCAATCAGAGAGCAGTGACATCAGTGTGACCCTGCTCAGCTGTTACATCCTGCCATTAAAAAAAAATGCTGACAGAACATGGTTCATCGACACATGCTGCTGTACATATGTGTACTTATATGGATATACTTAGCATTGTTGTATGCTGCCGAGCAAAATTAGGGAGCGACAATCAATATTTTGGACCCAGCATAAGAGCAGGGACCCTGTAATATTTAGTTACAACAGAGAGAATAAAATTAAGATTTGACTTTGAGGCTGTATAATAAGAATAATAATAATAATAACAATTATTATTATTATTATTATTATTATTATTATTATTATTATTATTATTATTATTATTAATTAATTAATTAAACAAATTAAACAAGTGTATTTTTGCTATTCTGAGTGTGTGTCTTCGGTGGAACAGTGGCAGTGATAACGTGAATACCTACCTGTGGTTTTAATCACAGCAGGTACTCAGACAGAGATAATCCATGTTGGCAGACAGTGGATCTCTTTTCACTGCCTCCTCAGAGAAGATCACAGCCTCACAGCCTGCGGCCACGTACAGGAGAGTCGGCTGCAGGAGCCAGCTCTGTCTGTCAGGTCATTCTGCAGGAGGAGACCTCTGCACTGGAGCAGACTGTGGACAGAGAGCTGCAGAAATGGACAAACAACACAAAAATGTGACCAGATGGAGGTGTGTGTGCATTTGTTTTGGTAGTTTTTGTACCCAGGAGTACTTTGGTTGTGATGGGTCCAGACTCTAATCAGCAGTAATCTTATTAAGCTCTTATTGGTCCAACAGCAGATGGACTCTTGTTGACACTTGTTTCACGCTGGTTCCCATGGAAGTGTACATGGAAGGATCTGCACTGTTGGATTGCAGGTCACCAGTATACAGTAGCATTGTTCTTCTTGATACAGCTGTAGTGACTAACAACAATAATGTTAAAGCCAGTTGTTGTTTGTAGCAGGCAACCAATAGGGACTTGACTTATGTGTACTGTTTGTAGTTTTGTGTTTATTTCCAGTACCAAACCCACATGTTTGACTCTATACTGCTCTGACTTTATGCTTTGGGTCTGGCAGTGCGTAGTTCAGGAGTTAAAATATAATGGGAATTTAGCCTTTTCCATCTATTCCAGTTTTCTCAGAGCAGACCAGAGACAGACAGACCAAATATGAAGTGAATCACTTCTGACTCAAGGAGGATCTGCCTACTCTGCCGTTGGTTTATTAAAACTATTTCAGATTTTTACTGACACTGTCTTTACAGGATATTCCTCCCAGACCTGAAGTTAAAGTTTAGCCACAACAGCAAACATCAGCAAAAAGGCTGGCTGTTGTTCCAGTCCGCTGAGCACAGAGCAGTTAAATGGGACGTAAGAAGAGAGATATTTAAAGATGACTTGTGTGGGTAAACAAAGTACATTTTTGAGACGGCTAAAAGTCAGATTGCTGTTTAGATTCTGGATTTGAAATAGGAAGTTGAAGTAGACAATGAGTGAACCAGGCTGTTTCATTCGTGACATCATGAAACATTTACCTCAGCTCCCATTCGCCATTTATGGGACTTTAATTAAAAATGATGTCATAATCCGTATTAGAGGAAAATAGGCCATAAAACACAGTGGGGGTTGGAGTGTTAAAGAGAACATCGGGTTGTAGTAACAGCTAGTACTGACAATTACTCAGCTTTGAGTATTTGTTTTGTAAAGGTGACTTAGATGTCGACATCTTCTATATCATCCTCTCTGCAGTAACACAACTGAATATACTGTATATACAGCATATAGTGTATATACAGACAGAGCCCAACTTACGAACACAATAGGTTCCGAGAGGCTGTATGTAAGCTGACTTGTTCGTAACTCGTTATATAATTGCCATTTGAGGTCATTCAAATAACATGACTACATTTACATTACCATGATTATACAGCATTTAATAAAAATAAAATCAAAAATGACTGTAGTACCATACTGTAACTTACCTTTAGAGTGAAGTCGATGTGCGTATGTAGGTGGTGGAGGAGGTAGAGGAGGAGGAAGGAGCGGTTGTTCGTATCTATGAATCTTCGGAACTGCTGTATATCAGTATATACGTACATATATAGGGTACATAACTTCAGCGTAATACAACATTTTAAAAATTGTGCTGGATTTTCTGAGTTTAGTGCTCATTGGGTTGGTAAAGGATGTGATCAACATGTGTTCACCTAAAACTAGCTGTGTCGGCTTCCTGTTCCACTAGAAACCTCCTCA